CTTACAATTTGACATTTCCAGAAAATATATATTCTCTCATTAGCTGAACATAGCGATGAGCACATGAAGCTTTTGTACTTAGAGCTTTCATTTACAATTTTTTCGTCCGTCATGATCGTAGCCTGCGAACACCGCCTATTTTTGGCGACATGCGGCGTGAAACAAAAGCCAGAAATCCCTCGCCTGTTCGCACCGCAGGCCTTTTCGCGCGAAAGTTTACGTCATTCACACTTTGCCATTATGTGATTGGTCTGTTCAACAGAGCGCAAACAAACCACAAACACAAAAGGAAAAGAATGTTGTTCGGATGTGAGCAGCCGTTTCTTTGGGAGGAGCGTTGCGTGACATCCCAAAAAACGGCTGCGGAGGAGACTATGTTTACAAATTCAGCACTGGAAACCCCTCCAATGCTACACAACGTAAGCTTTCCGCCAGTTTTTTTTTTGGTGAAAATTCGTCAAGATGCTAGTGTAAAATGGGGTTGACTAGCCTACAGGACTTCTACGGTTGATGACATTGGTACATTTGCTGTTCTCTGTTCGGTAACTCGACCTTTTTGTCGCTTCACTCGTGTTTATGAAGGGCACTTCATGTTGTGTTATAAGGAGGAACTTAAAGTACAGTTGAGCCGTTAGACCACTTCTTCTTGCTCGGCAGACATTGTCCCGCACGAGGCCACGGCAAATACCGCAGGAAATCCGAACGAAAGATTCCCAGCTCGGAAAGTCAACAAGTCGACGTATCATTGGATAAAATGGTTAATCATACCAATCATTAACTGGAAAAAGCGGAAATTACAAACAGCAAAGCTTGCTTGCACAACAATGGTCCCTTGCAAAACATAAACAAAAGATCAAAAGTCATCGGAAGCGTCAGGAACCGAGTAATAAAACGCAGACGACTGAAGACTCTTTTTTACCGACTACCGCGATCGAAAATTTATGAAAAACGCACACCGCTTAGTCTTATCAGTGTCTTACAAAAGCGCAGTACCGTAGGGTAAAATAAAGATTTCCGCCAAACCACACCAAAAATAACGCAAAACCGCATCACCTTAAACCCTTACGTCCCCCTCCTCTCTGTTGCTGAAATCCCCGGCTGAAATCATGATCTCTGTGAACAGCTGCAGTTTCACAGACAGATAAAACGTAATGGCAAAGGCCACTATTTTTCTGTGGATTATTTGATTTCCTTGCTTTACTGTTAGTAAGTTGAGGTCCCATTTGATGACCTTTGATGACACCTTGCGTGACGGCTCCAGTTTCGGTAAACTCACAAGTTTAAATTAATCGAACATTTGCCTTCAAAATTCATGTTAAACATCTCATTTTCACTTTTATTGGTAACAGTAGAGTTGCGTTCTAAGCTAGAAGCACAAATATCAGCAAACAATTGCACTCACGTGCCGGTTTATCCGTGGTTTATCGTAAACAAACGCCGTGCGACCGGCAACTGATTCGAATATTTCCGCTGATGAATAAAAATAGTCAGCATTTACATTGTTGTTCCTTAGTTCTGGCTTGCTCTTATAGATCTTGGCTTCAGAGTACTCTTCCATCGATTCAGTTTTGACCTTCGCTGAATACTGAACAATTTGTGGCCACTGGAAAGTAATTTAAAATGTCAACAAATGTAATCAAAATATAACCAATGAAATACAGCTGTTCCCACGGTTAAAACCCCAAAGTCAAGGCGATTCAAAGTCGTGTTCAGAAACAGAATAAATAATTGTTGTTCTAGATATGTAACAAAAGCACGTCATCTCGCATCCTGACCAAACAGGCCACGCATGGTCCAGAATCAAAACTCCTAGAATTAGAAACGAGCGATCGCGAACGATCGAAAAAGCAAATTGTCTCGTATACACGTCCTTTGCGATGATGTAATTTGTTTTTCACCAGGCCAGAAAGTCTCACGCCGGTTTGCATTGAAACTGCATTCCCTTTTTTTGGTCGAATGCAATCAGAGTGAAAAACCAGTTCAAAGAAAACCCCAAAACGTCCAAAACAACGAAAGAAGCAACACAATAAAACAAGAATGACGTAGCAGATGGACACGCAAACGAGTCCAAAAGCCCCTAAAAAAAAGAGGGGCGGCTAATTTTCAGTCTTCACAAAATATCTCGATTTCTCGCGACTGCAGACAGGCCGAAACGAAATAAGAATGCGTTCTCGTTCCTTGAAAACGCAATTAGCTTTTATGTTGAGTTCCAAAAGCGCTCCTGAGGAACCCTCCGCACACTCACCATACATCATCATTTGAGGTCTGGGAGCCCATCCCATCATCGATTGCGCGCCTTGATGTCCATACATCTGCCCCACGTGATTTCCCGGCGGTCGTTGCGGTGAAGGTCCTTCAGGGACTTGTGGCCGTCTAGGGTCTGATAAATAGCTATTGAAAAATTCCGCCTGGAGAAGAAGTGTTGAAATAATGCTCACAACTGATGGATAATACACTTGTAGAGGTTGGATGGAGCAAAGGCAGATACAGGTCCATATAG